TCGTCGAGGTCATTGATAATGACACCACTTCCCCCGGAGTCGAGAACTCGGGAAAGTGACACGGCGTCGGCAAGTTTTAAGCAGGGCTCACGTCGCGCTGCTAGAGCACCTCGCTCTCTTCTTATCCGACTCTTAGTCGACTTCCTCCAAATCCTCAACGAGGTAATCTATCGCCCATGGCGGGCGAGGTGCGCGGTCGGGAGTAGACATCGTGTCTGTGTTCTTGGTCGTTCGACCCTGTCACTGACCGTGCGCTACGCGGTACTCGTTTATCGAGAGCTAGGGAGTGCTTTCATTGAAGCCGCGGACGTGCTGTCCGAAGTTGCACTGCATGCAGGAGACGAAGAAGGGCTCTGTCCGCGGCTGTCGAAACCAGCGAAGCTGGGTATCTATCGTGTCCTCGACACGGACGCACGACTCATTGAGCAGAAAGTTCGTGAAGAATGTCCTGGCGATGTTGTGGTGTCGTAATCACGCGAGCCGCATTCGAGGCAACAGTTAAATGTGAGCTGTTGGTGTTCACAATCTTGACTGGGGAGAGTGTGACGGGATTTCACGTGTAGTACGAAGGGTGTGGGTCACATAAGATGATGTGATCACGCAACGGTGTGGTTCACACAAGATGGTTTGGCCAAACAGTGGTGTGGCTTCACTTAAATAGCAAGTCAGTACATGGCTGGACTGCCAGATATTATACATTTAATTAGGTTCTACTATTAAATGTAGAAATAAACTAATATTTGGATATAGGCGTTTTACCGCAAATGACACCAAGAATACAGTTTACATTGCACGGAAGATTTAATTAGCCTTGGAGTAAGGTTGTCATTTCTCTTGGAGTAAGTGGATTGCGATCCGCTACACTCGCTGTCCCAAACTTTTTCTGACCGAAATAGCTACAGCAGCCCCACTGCACTTGCTCTTTCATAATTAGATCGGCCATTACACGTTGTTTGAGACGTTGTCGCCTTCTCAATAGGCCGCGTTTTGCAACAAGTCGTTGACGGTGGCAAGTGCGTGCGATTGTATTTGAGTCTCGCCCGCTGAAAGCGGCTAAGACGAACTAGTGTCCATTTGAAAATAAGCTGCTTTCATTGCAGTATAATTTATCAACGCCGAGTGCACATGTTCGGCTTTAAGTTGTTTGTGATATATACAGGTTATCAATCGTTGCACACAGCGGCGACATTACCATATCATTCGCAGAGAAGGAATCATTCTTCTCTTTATTTGCCGAGTAAACTTTTGGGGTAAGATATAATCCGAATCAGATTGATGTGTGGTAGATGCGCTTCTTGCTTCAAAAAATGAAGTACAACGGTGAAGTCGCGCATAATATGGTGATAACTCTAGCACACGGGCTAGATGCTACAAGTTATAATCACAAAGCGGATTGAAAGGCATTATACTAATAACTACGACCCGCTGATATATAATCTACAACATGTGTTGTATTGATAAAAGCTATAAAATGCAAAAAGGTTTGAAATATAATTCTGCTTTTTAAAGTGCTTAGTTGCACGTTCGAGCTGCCGTTCCTTGTCTATAGGCTTGTTTTGTTACAGTATTGACCCGCTCAACTTTCAGCGTGAGATAGTACCATGTAATGAGGACATCAGACACTAAATAGTGTTTGAGGCATACGATCATCCGTAAGGTAGACATCTCGGTGCAAAATAGACAAACGGCCTAGTGAGCGCTATGTATCAGTATAAATGGATAAGAGCTTATGTGCGCAAACACAAAACGTGTCAATAAGTTAAACCCTTGCTACATGCGGCGTCACTTTTGGATAGACAGTCGGTTCCAGCAAAGTACCGGTCGCAATACGTATTGACCTCTTCAGATTTATCAAGCGTTAAACTCCGGTTTACCGACATTGGACCGCCTAAACAAGGAGGCTTCTTCCGCTCCTCTAAGCGATAGTGTACGGCTAAGCAGTTTCTCGACAAAATACTTGTTATCATTGTTTGTTGGTAGCCACCTGATCGGATACAAATCCGCGTGTCAAAGCAACGTTTCTGGAAATACTTGTGTAAAATTCTTAGCCCCAGATTTGATTTGTCAGCTGGTGACCATCCAAGAACCGATGCTCAGATAAAGGCGTTGCGCCAGGGCAGATATAATTGCCAGGGGGCGCGAGGTTAAATCGAGTCGCTTTCACCCATTGCGTTCGCCACGCTATAGCTGAGAACCAATATCAATAAAGGTAACACGCCAATAATAGAGGCGTGCGGACCGCACATCAATATGCTGGGGGTCAACGATTTTACTGGATTAAGTTTTCTTACCTGCTCATACACTGTCTACGGTCTATCAGACCAAATTGCGACATGCTACATCAGACCGTTTACGGTCGAAGCAAAAGAGAAAAGTGATTTTCTTAAACGTATGCAAACACTTCCAGTCTTTTATGCGGGCTCATTGAATCATGATATTGCTCTTACGAACCGGCCAGGCGTAAATATCTCTGTTGCAGACGATGCAGCCTCTATTATCTCCAATAGTTGAGCTACACTATGCTTCATCTAACGACGCGATTTGAGCCGCTGGTGATGCATCAAGTCAGGCAGAGCGATAGCGAGGATCGGAGAACAACATCAGGCCCGGATCGTAACAGTTTCGGGCGCGAACCTTGAGTTTTAGAGAGAGTCAACGTGCCGACACAACTGAGAAGGCTTTGAGAGCCAGTCGGGAGAAGTTGACCCCGCTGACACTGATCACAGAGTATGGGGCGACCAATTACACATGATGATTTTGGTGTATCGGTGGGAGCTTCAGTTCTGTTACCGAATCTTGTGAACCCCTTTAGTTTGACAGATTGCGCAAGTCTAAGTTTCATAGCGGCCGGATTACCTTAGTGCCGTGGCCACTTACGGGCTCGCACATCCTTGAACTTTATCCCTTTTAGAGAAAAGAAAGCGTTGCCCTTCACAGCGCGCTTCTCACCAGCGGAAGCCGATTGGCCTTGCTGTGGCAATGACCCTAGACCTGAAGCTATTATATTTATCTCATATATACAATCAGGATCTTAAATTGCAGGAACTTGACGCGATGAGCTGTCACCGTGACGTCCATTCTGCGTCTCGTATAATATATAATTAAGCTAAGTTAACGCTTTAGGCGGAAGCTCTATCGTATCTGGCGCGCTTGTAAAGCTTACATTCCCAGCACCCCAGCCTTTCCTTTGCGCAAGAAAATTGTGCTTCTCATTGAATGTGACGCTCACTGCTTTCTCAAAATACGTAAGATGGGCACTGAAGGTCTCGTTGCGGTATTGTAGCCGCTCAGATAGCCTTCGCAAAAATAAAAACCGCTACCGCTCCTCCAAAAGGGTCGGACGCCATTGCTGCAGTTAGAGTCCTTCACAAAGCACACCACTTCTCGCCTTTCTTGACAACTTCGAACGAACTTGATATGACTATCAACACATCCGACGTCTGTCGCTTCAAATCATCTTACGTTTGAAAGGCTACTTTTAACAAGGTAGGAAATTAAGTGCTCAATCTCCCGTATGACCTCCTAGCTTGGTGATCGGAAGGGTGACGTGATGGGATTGCTGTGCAGTTGGCACAGAAAGAATTAAGTTTTCAAAGCTCGCGTTCGCAGAGGCACAAATACTGGACTTTCCTGTTCCAGCGAAGAGCCTCTTAGGTAATTCTCACTGTTTGCTCGCTCTGCTATTCTAAGCGTACATGGAGTCAGGATTGATTTTACCTAGAATAATACTTAATACATACACTACTGTCCTCATGACATAACCTGCTGCTTGCAGCCCACATATACGTCAAACCTCTCCTTTTCGCGGTTCCATGATCATGAATATTTACAATAACACCAAAGTAACGAGAATCGCACACAACGGTACCGAATTGTGATCCAACTTAACCAAATGTATAAGGCTCAAGTAAGTTCACACGATCACTGTATTCGTAAGTCATGATCTCCTAATATATGAGATTTTCACAGATTTGTGACCTGTCATGTTTATCACAGCGCACATTATTGCTCAAATCGATACGTTGAAAGAAATTGCAATCGTATAAACATTTTTTGGTATCCAATGCGCGATAATTTCATCTTTAATCCAGAATATTTCATGTTCAAGGTCAAATTTGAAAGCGTTAATGACGTCATCGACTGCCTTTTTATTCCATCAACCACCAAAAAGTCACTATCTACCTGGATCGTCGTATGCGCTCAAGTAGAAGCTGTTCGTTCATCCATGATATTAACCATGCATCTTGATCACACTTGTCTACATCAATCTTACCTCTATAATTTAATTACTTCTTACGAGCGTCATCGTCTCAACTTGCACATGACATCAATTAAAGCTGCATCCATGCGACCTTGTCATCCTCACAACCTTCCATTCCACTTTCTCTACTATTCATGATCTCTCAGTTCTTCTCAACGCTAACTGATGCAGCCACCCCGCTACGCTTTACTTTGCTAAATCAGCAACTTGCACAGCTCTCACAATTTGTGGGAGTTCCTGTGGACCAATTGCGCTGTGTCACTTGCCTTTTAGCTGCGTATCCATTAGCGATCGTAGTGCGTAAAGTGCCAAATGTTGCAACTAAGCACTGGTTACACATTTGTGCTGGAGTTAGCATTGCCCAGTTTGTCTATGGCACAGGATGGTTACACTCGTTAGTATCTTCGTTGCTTACGTACGCAATGGTGTGTGTACTACCGCACAAGACGGCACCACTTGTGGTGTTTCTTGCCAACATGTTGTTCGTAGCAGCGCTGCATCTTCATCGCATGCGGGTCAATTATATGGGTTGGAGTATGGACTCAACCGCTAGTCAAATGCTACTGCTCATCAGACTCACAAGTTTTGCTTTCAATTACCACGATGGGGTCGTCGCTAATGCGACAACAGTAAAAGATGGTGACTCAGAGCACATGAAAATGGTGAAACAATCGCGCAAGCAGCTTGCGATTCCCAAAATTCCATCGCTGCTCGAATTTCTCGGGTTTGTTTACTGTTTCACGACATTTCTAGCTGGTCCGGCTTTTGAATACAAGGAATATAGCGACGCCATTCATCGGACCCGATTTGTGGATAGAAATGGCGTTCGGCGCAACATATCACCTACATATGCGGCGCTATCAAAGCTCGCACTCGGTTTAGGACTCATGGGACTATTTGTGCGATTTGGAGCTTTCGCAGCTCTGAATGAAATTTTGAATGATGATGACCAGTCCATGCTTTTAAAGTGGGGACGATTATTAATTGCGCTCTTCTTAACGCGTGCCAAGTACTACTTAGCGTGGAAGCTAGCGGAAGGTGCGACTGTGCTCACTGGTACTGGATTCGAAGGGTTTGATGAACAAAATAACCCCAAGGGCTGGGATGGTGTCAGCAACGTCGATATCATAGGGTTCGAGCTTGGTGCCAATGTTCGCGAGATCTCGCGGGCCTGGAACAAGGGCACACAGAATTGGCTGGAGCGCTATGTGTACACCCGAACGGGCAATTCGCTGCTTGCAACGTACTTGGTCTCTGCTTTGTGGCACGGATTTTACCCAGGATACTACCTCTTCTTTCTTACAGTACCCCTTGCAACAGCCGTGAACCGTTTGGCTCGACGTCATGTGCGTCCGTATGTAGTCGATAGCCCAATCAAACCGCTCTACGATGTTTTCGGTATGATCTGTACCGCTATGGTTGTAAATTACTTGGCCGTGTCATTCGTAGTGCTATCGTGGGAAGATGCCGTCGCAGGCTTTCGCTCTATGCGTTTTGCTGGTCATCTTGGGCTTGTAGTATGCTATCTATTGCTTACCTTTGTCCCAATTAAAAAGTCGCCAAATAGTAAAAAGATCATATGAACATGCAAAAATATTACATAGTCTCATTTTCATATATTTTATACTTGTATCATCGCTAGACTTATCCAGAGTATAGTAAATATCCAGTGTCGTGGTTCTTAAAAGTGTTGTCTTTTGAAGTATTATACGTGACTCGGCATTCAGGCGGTTGTGGTGACCATGAACCATAGTTCGAGCAATGAATTGTTGCAGATCCTTTCATAGTTGTGCCTCTCATACAAGAATATGTTGCTGTCGAGCCTGGAGCCGTACTTGAGTACTTTACCAAGCCTTGATAGATTGGCACTGGAGCACTACAATTATTCGACACGCTTGCATTTCCACGAAGATAAGCTGCCTCAATGGGTACACATACTACCGCCAAAGCGATAGCGGCTATGTACAGAGTTCGCTGCATTGAGATCGAACAAGTTGAAAATGATCAAATTAATTGTGAGCTGAGGGCATGACCTTAGAGCACGTACGTCTCGAGGTTCTTATCGAGTCACTTCGATACCACAGTTCCGTATTTAGCAAATTTAAGCTGCCTATATAAAATGCGATTGCGAAAAGTTCATAGTATACAATATGTTGCATTATACCTTACATTTGTTAAGGTTCTGACGGGGTGAGCACGATTTCATGGTTACGATGATGTTCTTCAGGTGGCAATTGAGATAAACGATACCGTGTACGAAAACCTGAAATCATTAAAACGACGATGCTGCCAATGGCGATTATAATGACGGCCACTGCTACAGCTGAAATTCCTATAGATGTGATAGTCACGAAATCGGCCTTTGTGGAAGTCTGAAGTTTCGTTTGCTTATCCATAGTCACTGAAGCACAAGGTGTTTTGGCAGATAAAGCAGAAAACGATTTCGAGCTCATTGAATCGTGTATTACAGCCGGGGAGGCAGTAAGTTGATCTTCAAAGTCGCTATCAGCAATCGAAAAACGGGTCTCTGCTGGTGGAGTTATCGTCGATGCTTCTAACTCGTGCGACATTTCAGCCTTATCAATTGTAAGGCTCAAAGAAGTCGCTATTTTCTTCTTGGTACTATCAAGAAGACTTAAAGTGTCGATTATCGCTGTTAGTCTCGATTGCTGGGGCTTGTTAATATATTTTTGACTTGAGTTAATTGCGTTTTCCGATGCAAGAGTTATCGGTTCGTCTATCGTCTTCACTTTGGGACTTCGTGTTTGCTGGAACACTTTTGCGCTTGAAGTAGAAGAATCCATTTGATTCTTTAACTCCCCGGTCAGCGAGAACTTGGACACGTCAGTCTTCGGTGGTATAAGAGAGAGCATCGAAATTCCCTTCTCTTTGGTCAAATCTATTGCGCATGACGTAGTAACATGATCCGCTTCCGAAGTACTTTTAGCATTCGCGGATTCAAAAGTATACATATCCGAACGGACTAATTTATTCGCTGCTGGAAGTGTTTCTACTCGAGGGACCGTTATGGAATTGATTAATATTTGTGATGTAGTAATGGGAGCAACTGTAGATTGTTTTGAAGTGCCACCCTTGCAGTTGTCAAGCTCCCTTAACGCGGTTGTCTTGATGAACCACATCGTATTGGCATAATTTTCATCATCCAATGGGTCCCTTTTACCTGTAGAAGGAGCGTCTTGGCTCGAGTAAAGCCACGTCGGGCATTTTCTATGCACTGCAATATCTTTAAAGGTCTCCCACTTATCATTGCATCGAGTCGACTGAAAGGTGCACCCCCAAGCGTTTCTTCCTTTAAGATACACACATAGAGCATCTTCTTTTGCGACACAACTTCTACCGTTGTAGCTGTAGAGATACGAGTAGCAATCATCAGAAGCTGCGTCGCCAATGCGAGGGCATTCAACTCCATGAGGTTGCTGACTATTCCCCGAACACACCACTCCACGACTTGCTGGAATCTGGAAAGTCGCATCTTGGCACACGCTCACTTCAATCATTTTAATCGCAGTACCTTGTGCTACGAGAATCAGCAGCGTCACACTAGATCTTTTCAACGTCCACTTATGAGTCATCCTCAGTCAAGGATAGTATCTCTGATCTTGTTGCTTATAAACTAAGGAATACCTGAAAAATAGTTGGAGGGTTACTACAATCATGGGATCAAGCAGCGAAAAGGTGTTTGCAAGCCACGTCAGATCGAATCATCCGATTCCAATTTGCACTAGGCTTTGGAAAAGTTTCACGTATCACCAACGTGACGCTTCACAAATAACTGAACTACTTGACACATAATGATTGTTTAACGAACATCTTGAAAAGTATCGTTATAACTTACAAGCAGCATCATTGCTTGCATATATTTAAAAACTACACGAATTTGTTACTGCACATATTGCCTGAGCATGGCATTGAGGTTTTGAAGAATGCAATGAGATGACTGATCTCACTATGTGAAGTAAAAGTCGTCTACATCTTGCTTCTATCATATTCACTGCTGGGCCACAAAAACTACTGCTCGAACGTAATTTACACAAATCCACCAATACTCTGACTGCCAAATCGACTCAGGCGGTCCTTTCGTTTTGCATTCTGCTCCTTCTGATATCTTTCCACATTACACGATACGCTTCTATTTGCTTCCTTTCGCTTTGATCGCCGTTTCTCTCTCTGTTGAAGTCGTGTCTCTTCTTCCGAATCGGATGAGGAAGCCTCCTCAATCACGCGATGAGATCTGGAGCCTGGATTTATACGCCGGTTCCAGGTTTGTTCAACTGTTTGACGTCGAAGACGTTGCACTTGTTCCCGTCCAGCTGTGCCATTCGCTATCATTTCCTGCAGCATCGACTCTTCATCGTTCGAGAAATGCTGTTTCGACGTCATGTAGCCACCACCCCTGACTTCTTCATATTCATATTCCGTGTCGGAACTCTCGGAGTCTGAAGTTTGATCTGCGGCACTGCTGTGTCCAGTTTCGCAGCTAAGTTGACTGCTTCTCATGGCCTGTTGGAATGAGTCCCACTTTAACTGCACGTACTTGTCGAGAGCTGGTGGAAATCCCCACTCCTCGAGATCGTCAGAACTTCCAGCACGAAAAAGTTCACTTAAGTTGTCCGGCAAGTCAGCAAATGTTTCCACGAGTTCGTTGAAAAAGCGTTGACCATCGATAACCAGGCGGTTTGATGCATTTACACGGTAGCAGCCCGGTGCTTTCATGACTGCTTTGTTAATAAATCGGTCCACAAACCGCAAAATCATTATTGCGCTGTATTCGGTCAAATACTTTTCCAATTCGCGTTGGGCGTGAATCGAAATAGCTTGTGCATTCAGAGCCAAGCTAACACGCGACATGCGCTCCGAGTCACTAAGTTGCACATTCTTCGCCGACTTGGGTCGTCTTTTCGTACGGGAAGAGTTTGTCTTGTCGTGATAAGAGTAAGCAAGCGAATTTTTGTCTTTACTCGATCGTAACGATGACTTAGAGTGATTACTGGACAAAGTTTCGCCTCGAGAGCTTTTCTTGGATGTATAATGAGCTAACGACGACAAATTTAATAGTTTAACGTCCTCCGCAGAAGCTGGAGACGACGTAGATGACGCAAGCGCCGACAATGCTGTCAATTTCTCCATTTCTGGCTCGGATTCATCGGGTGAAGATGATGCAACGGAGCTCTGCGTCGTCGCAGAAGTCGTTGTACGTGCAGAGCGGCTTCTCCACTCCTTATTTGTGTGTCCAGGTGAAGAGTGATGACGTTTCTTTTGCTGCTCATTCGTCCATTTAGACGAGCTGAGCTGATTCTGAAGCAATTGATCACGCATCGACTTAGCATCAAGTTTCGAACTTTCTCCCGTCTCATCATCTGCGTATTTTGCCACTTCCATACTCTGTTGCCGGGATTGATGCTGTTCCTTTTCTTGCAATACCTGCTTCTGTGCTTGTCGCTTCAACGACATTTTTTCCAGCTCGCGATAATTTTTTCTCTCTCCAAGATTCGAGCTAGTCATAGCCAAAATTTTACTCTCTCGGATGGCTTTTGTAACTACATCATCACTCTCTTCGCCTGCACTGTTCCTTCCTGATCCTAATAACTCTCCTGATTGCAACGAGAGGTCCGTTTTGATAGTAATTGGCTTTAAAAAGTCGCGTAGTAGGTAAAATACGCTGATGCTAGCTTGGGTACGTTCCTGCAGTAATACAAACGCTTCTTTCTGATGGTCTGGGATTGATTGCACGTAATGTTCGTATCGTGACTTTTGTGCCTTGCGATACGTATGTGTGAGAAGCAAGAGCTTAATAAGAAAGCGATAGAGCTCGACAGCGCGTTCTTTGACAACGTGGTCCTTCTTACTTCCAAAAAGACGCTTCGCAGGAAATGGCAAGCCTTGTAAACCACGCACAAAGTCTGTTGAACACGTATCGTCCAATATGTGCGTACGTGCATCCCTCATAGTGCGCTGTATATCATCACGAAGGCGACGAAAGTCCGAGTACGTGCGTCGAACTTCCCATTCATCGTCATCCTGCTGCACTTTGACGACATATAAAACTTCTCGATTGCCTGTAAATTCGACATGACCGATCGAAACCACTAGTCGACTCATGGACGTTGTCAGGTTTTAAGCAATGAAAGAAAGAGTAGACACGTAAAGTAGGACGGGTGGAAATGCGGCGCAGTGTTGAAAGTGCTTCAAGCAGCTGATAGAGAGCTTGTAAAATCGAATATTTAGGCTTTGTCGTAGTTTATCGGATACGGAGAATCAGGAATATTAGAAGACTAATCAAGTTGAAATGGCCATGTGTATAAGATATATAGAGATATGGGGGGAGAGTCAGCTCTTGGCGATCGCGCAGTCAACATACAATCGGAAGCCCTAGCCTGCAGAAAAAGGCGGACTCGGTATTGCCTGATGACGTGTCCTGTCTTAGATCTTTACTTCCAACTGGAGCCATGCAGAAAGACGACATACCTAAGTGCAGTGATCACCGTGCTGAGAATAGTTTTAGAGATTGTCGTGAGACATTCGATCAGCTACGAATTTATTTAAGCGACCTTGCAGCCTACAATGATAAAGCGTTTTATAACAGTCGTCCGACCTGCCGAGGTATTTTTATTCTGAATATTATAAATGTAAATGTACAGTTTATGTTAACAAGTTATGTATGTCTTTAAGTAAATATTTTAGGCTTTAATATGCGTAGAACAGTCTCGATAAATAATGGGCTGATACTTTGGGCTGATACTTTAAGGTAATAACTTAAGGTCTCTACTTCTGAAGTGATGGTGGTCGAGCGGGCACACCCTGACGTGGCTCTCCCCACGGTCGTGCACCGTGTGGCTGACGATGTGGCTGCATCCACACGCCTGTTGATCGTTGGAGACGTGCATGGATGTTTCGACGAGTTGAAGTTGCTGTTGCATGCGTGTCGTTATTCGCCTCAAACTGATCGTCTTGTCTTTGTGGGTGACCTCGTCAACAAAGGACCAAAGTCGTTGGAGGTTGTGCGTTTTGTGCGTGACTCAGGATCGCTATGTGTGCGTGGAAATCATGACGATGCTGCTCTAATCGCGTATTACCAGTATGTGAAAGGTGGTCGCGTCCCCGGCTCGGCCTGGTATTCGTATGTGGAGCAATTTACACTCGAGGACGTCGAGTTTCTTGAGCAGTTGCCGTACTCAATTTCGCTGCCGAATCATGGTAATATCATTGTGGTACACGCCGGACTCGTGCCAGGAGTAGATCTAGAGGAACAGAAACTTTTACACCTGTACAGGATGCGCTTTGTGCAGCGCGAGAAGGCAGAGGATGATAATTCCAAGTGGGTGGCATTAGAGAGGAAAAAATATAAAAGTGAGTGCGGTGGAGAGCCAAAAATGTGGGCAAAGGTCTGGAAAGGGCCTAGACATGTGTACTTTGGGCATGCCGCGAGTGCAGGGTTACAGGTGAGAAGTTTGAAGTGAAGTTGACTTTTATATTGTAAAGGGTAATTCAGCTCGTGGATGATCGTAGCAAGAGCCTTTTGCGACGGGTTTGGACACCGGATGTTGTTACGGCAAGAAACTTACGGCGTGCATCATTCCGGTATGATGATTAAGCAGTGGTGATGATACTTAAACATTATTAATTGACAATTATTTGATTGATAGACAAATACGCTGGTCCACGTGGACGCAAAGGAGCAGTACGAAGTGCCAAGCGGTGACAAGGATTAGATATGTAAGCTTACAAGTCTAAAATCAAGATAAACGTGAAAGAAAATGTACTGTGCACTCTACATTCACGCCAGTACAATTGCGTAGTTCATTTACAATCAAGCAATTGAAATATATGTTCATGTCGATTTGAATGAGCGCATTTTTTACTTTTTTGAACTAAGCATAAAAAATCAGTATTTTGTTTGCTGATTACTCCATGCAGCGTTTATTTCAGTTCTGACTTGAACATCAAGATTCCATTCCACGACATCGATACGTAATTTTTGTCGGACTGCGTCCCATTCTCATACACTTTACTGAAAACCTCCCCGAAAAGATCTTAAAAGTAAGATGGATCAGGCTATCAAACGACAAGAGTCTGTTGGTTCTCAAGAAACCTAATGAAGACGCTTTGTACTACACTCTTTAATTTGAGCGGTGTACGTACTAAATAATTCAATTTGGCACGTTATGATCTGCCTGAGTTCATGACTCATCACGTTCCATTAGAAAGAGTGTGTAGCACCTTCGTTTTGGCTTCTCGTCGATCCATGGCTCGATACGCTCGTATCTTAAATTAAGATTAAGATCCAAACAGCAGTCCAAGCTGTCATCGTCAGTTATGTAAAAATACAAAAGGTGGTTGTTGCGATTGGCGTTCTCAACGCAAGATGCATGGTGATTATATCCGCTCTTAAAATTCTCAACGCCACGACTTTTTCAACAGTCATGAACCGCATGTAATTGCACAATGATGTTAAGTCTATCAGGGATTTCCATGGCTTCATATAAAATCTTGGCCACTGATATTCTCCAACTTAAAGGTTGTGCCCCGTCTCATGAAGAGGGATTCTTTACTTTAGGTCTAAATGCAATAATCTTCTTGATTGAAATACACTTCTGTGCTCACAGCCATAACATCTGCGGATACCACTCATGGTGTGGCAAATATTTGAACATTATAATCAGCAGATCCTTGGCCGCCGCCAGGACATACGTCATCTCTTGGCAGTTATTTCCTTGCCATGTTTCTTGGTTTCTGTCGCCGTGCAATTTGATTATTTATTTAGTCTGAGCATATACAGTGGTTAGAAAACAAATTGCATCAGGGGATATTCGAGAATGTGCTAGTGTTAATTCTTTGAATTCCGTTTGGCAGTAAGACACGAGATGTTATCTTTACCATCAGCGTCCAAACATCTATGTTATATTAACGAAACCAGGCCGAATTAAAGTAGTAAAATGTGCTTGAGTGTCGGCACTAGCTCACGAAATAGACAACATGAGATGGTTTTGTGCATTGTCAGTTTTCATTTGAAAGAATGCCTGGACGTTGTTCAATTATTTTTTGCCTGCATATTTCTTTTTTTAGAAGCAGAGCACCATTTGTTTAATTCAAGCTCCTCAGTGCTGTTCCCGACTACCGGATATTGGTGATGGCGACATATTGCACCAGACTTACATCGGATACACAGAGCGTATCACTTGGCAGTGCATCGAGCAAATTACGCGACAAATAGCCTGATTGAACAATAACTTGGTTAGTATTAATCCCTAGTTCACTAGTTTGCTGACTACGCACCCGTATTTGACTCTAAATTGGCTACGCCGTACATTCCGCATCTTCGGCCATTTCCCCATACCAATCAAAAGTATATTTGTGTTTAAGTTACCCTGTGACTGCCCTGAACAATTTATCTTTGAACATTTGTCAATCATCCCAACAAGACGATCTGACACAAGGCACCCATGCACAGAGCGTATGTATAAAGTAAGAAAAAGAGCTGATGTTTGATTACACACAGGACGAAAAAATCGCGATTGTCCTACCTTTTTGAGCATCAATATTTTTTTGGACGCAGTTCTATGGTAATACTAATTTGCTCACATGACGTGAAAACGTTTCTTCCGACTGGCTAAGTCGCTGAGTTATCTCAAATTCACTCCGAAAGCTAGTTTCAGCGCTTTACTTATCAACGGCACTTTGCATTTAGCTTGCACAACTACGTAAAAGTACTTATAGTCGAAAATATTTTGAAAAAGTACTTATAGTCGAAAATATTTTGATTACTTGAACATAATAATAAAAAATCGATATGAGTATATCTAATCTCATTTCTGATATCAAACAATCGAGTTTCATAATCAATTTCAATTCGAAAACCTGTCTTGCTGTTTAATAGCTAACATCAACATACTTGGTAATTTGAGTGACGAGGTCTTGGTAGACAACTTCATTAGCGTTGTACGCCCACGTGAAATCAATATGGTTATACTTGTAGCTACGATCAGTGAGTATGGTTGCATTTCTCAATCCAGCGCGAAGTTGAGCAATATCTGTGCTGGTAGCTAACAAGTCATCGACACCTCGGTAAAACCCCATACGTGGGTACTTCACAGCTCCAAGATCAAAGGAAGGTGGCTCGAACGCGTCGTAGACCTCTTTGTTTTTACACTTACGACTCGAGCATCTAGCCAGCCCCATTTCTTTGTTACATCTACATCCATAGTCATAGAATCGAAACGTATTCTCTCGAACGCCCTGAGCAAAGTGTACTAGATTCTTGACCGATGTGGACACGGGTGTACGCGAAAGATACACTGGTACACGTGTGATGTTTGTATTGTTGGATGGTCCTGAGATAGCATTGATGATTGAATAGCACGACTGGCCGGCTATCGAACATTTGTATTTATCCAAAAGACTTTGAATCAACCAGTTTGTCTCTCCAAATGTACGAATGCCTAAACGTGTAAGAAGACCATCCAGATGAAATTTAGCCAGGTATCTGAATAATGGTGACGCTATATGACCGACGTAAGCAACGGGGGAGAGTGCACCAAAGTACGAGACTTTTTTAGCTAACTTCTGGTTGAGTGAGAATCCAGCAAACGCTTGCATGGTCCCTTCCGAATGTCCAACGTAGCTCAGACTCGACTGACGTGTTGTATTTAAGACGTAGTTAATCATTGCAGGCATGTCGTAGAGAGCCATCTCTTGCCATGAAAAGTCCCAATACTCATCGCTGTCGGTTGAATAAGTGACGTGTTCGTTTGACCAGGTTGTACCACGATTATTGCCAAGCCAAACGTCGTAGCCGGCATCTGCCATGATAAAAGCTAAACTTTGGTTGCGAAAATTGCTGACGAACGTGAAACTTGTGTGAAGGAGTCCGTGAATTAAGTATACAGCGAATTTTTTTGCCATTGTCGTAACATTTGATTGACTCTCTTTGTATGACTTGGGCAGGCGATACATCGTTAGAATATAGTCATCCAACGTCGTGACTTTGTGTTCCTCAACGTCATAGCCGCGTGCTTTTATGATCTCCATGACAGTGAGTCCATAATCAGGGTCTCGATGAGCGTGTGAAATCTCTCGTTTAGCATGCACGTATGTCATAGTGAGTCCAACGAACATGATCGGCAATAACAAGTCACGAAAGACTATCATGGTGAACAGCAAAAAACACTCTTTAAAGCACACCAGGAAATGATTGTAGCTCAAAGCTAATTTAAAAATGATTGTTGATCATCAAAGCTTTCTGAGTTGGATTTGTCAAATGTATGTGCTCAGGAAAACACATATCGTGCAGTACAGCAAATAGCTTATGGTGGTTATTATTATCACTAGCTTTAAGTTACAAGCAACCTAAAAACCGTAAACGAGATCCTCTAGCATTTTAACAAGTAAAGGACGATCATTTAAAAAGAAATGATCAACAGATTAAGATAGTCTTATGGTGGTGTGGGGGATGTATGAAGTGACAAAAAGACATATGGAAAAAATGACCACATAGTCCGGATTCATAACAATACTGTATGAAAAATGACCTCTTAATATGGACTCAAATTGGTAAGAAAAAATACACCATGACAATTTAAGCAAGTTAATGTATTAATAAAAGACTGAGCCAGGATTAGTGAGAGGCACATTTGGTATGCGTCGTGAGTCAAAGCTCACGTACCCATCTCAGCATTCAGTTGCAAGGTACTTTTTGAATTGAAGTTCAAGTATTTCAATTCAATCGCTAAAGTAAAATGCTCTTAGTATGCACTGCAATGAAGTGACAAGAACTTTGTGAGCAATGTTGCGTGTACGGCCGCTTTCCTTTCGAGGTCTGACAATGAGCTTTAATTATTGTCCGATGATTTCTCTTAGACGAATTGCACGTATAGAACAGATGCGCTAACAAAGGTGACTCTCCAACCCATCGCGTTAAAAAGGACAACGATGCGTGGACTGAGCAATCATAAAAAGAAGTCAGCCGCAAACAAGACTCGCGGTCACTTCAACTTGTTAGAACAGGCCCATGTATATAGTCAATTTTGCATATTGTCCTGTTTGATACTATCGAGCGTGCAGATTTATGAGCTAGTTGTAAAATACAAGATATGTACACAAGAGTCTTCCTTGTCTAGTTGTAAAATACAAGATGTATACACAAGAGTCTTCCTTGTCTAGCCAATCGAATTCTGGTAACTTGTTTTTTGATCATTTTGATAGATTTTGAACTTATTATGTATGTCCATTGAGTGAAGCCATTCTGACTTTTGTCTTCATTCAATCATCTAAAGTCGAACTGACTTTTTCCTGTCCGCTGACTAAGTCTAATATTCAAAGCAAATGAGAAATCGAACTTCATCTATCAGCTGCGGCTAGAGCATTCATACATTGTTTTCCACAGATGGCGCTATGAAACACAACTGTCCTGACATTTCGCCTTCGTCGGTTTTATGAAATTCGTCTGGAATTCTACAAATAATCTAGAGTTCTACAGGTTTTAAGACAGAAAATTTCCAGAATGTAAAGCAACACATCAAAATATAATAAAATAGCACTTTTGAAATAGCAGACCAAAGGCATCCAGTTCAACTCCTAGAGGCACACACTCAACCTCTGGGCGTTTGTCAAAGCAGACTCTTGAAGTCAAACACCCTCCGTGTGAAGTGTACGTCAACTCTGTCGCAGATTTATGGTATGGCAAAGGCAGCTCGGATGCTCAAGCAAATGTCTGCTATCCATACGATAAAACTAATGCACAGCTGAAAGCAGTCATCTTCAAGGACTTCAAACTGTCTGGCGGAAATAATTTCAAATAATATCTTCCACATTGTGCTGAGCGCATCCGTGCAACATACAAATATTTTGTTGTAGCTGACACCTAGAATTCTACCAATGGGGTTTGTTGTGGATATCAAGAGAAGTAAATCAAACTACGATGTGCTGTCTGCGAGAGAAATCCATTTATTGGACGCAAATAGAACAGATGCTCCAAGAAGATAACCGGTACTATATGGCAGCATGCACGGAACTAACAAGTCCATAGATCACAACGCTGCTTTTTTGCGCATCGCTGGTAAATACGTCTACACAGATTACTATTGAGGTTGAGATGCAAAATCTTGGTTTTCACCTTGTATATCCAATACGCCTCCCTCAGCATGCTAAAATTATTGCTGCATAGAAGTATCGAAATGTTCGCCAGCAATACGCATTCAGTTTGAAAATCCTGGAAAAGAAGACAATGCCTGCGCAATCAATCTGGCAAGAAGGTATGGCACGCTTACGGGTCGATAACATACATATAAAGCGCGTTTCACAACGCGGAGATGCAAACATTTACGGCAGCAGATCTCTTGAGCTCTACATCTGATAATGCGTTCTTTGAAGCTGCTTTGGTTGGACACCATAGAATAGGTCTACGCTATGGTAACAAAACAAGGCTCTTGAGCAGTTCGACAAGTGCTTGACGGTACAAGGATGTAGATTAGGGGAGTAACACCGTTAACAGACGCTCGGTATCAAATGTTTTGATCGTAATGGAAAATGCTCCGGTGTTGTTCAAGTCCAACTACCAGAACTGAGCTCCGCCGAAGCTGAGAGCATAAAGAAGCACTTTGAACGCGCGCAATACTCATGGATAGTAGTTGCATTTAGCGCATTATAAGCATGCATAAATTGCCACTTAGCGTAAGCCTCTTTGACACACGTATAGAGAAAGACAACCTGGGGCTATAGTTTTGGCGAGCAGCGCAGGCTGCCACGCTCGTACAAAGCATGTGAACATTAGGCAAAACTTCTTTCGGGAAATAGTTCACTTTGGTAACAACAGATAGAATATTTCGACTTAAAGAATCAACTAGCAGATATGCTGTCAAACGCACTCGAGACAAAGATGCTCAAGTTTCAACGCGTGGAAACGGGTATCAAGACCAAGTCGGTGACAAATCACACTCAAGATAAGCGAAGAATGGGGCGCTGAGATTACACCGCTCAGTGCGTGTAGATGACGCTACAAGAATTCCAGTAATGTTCACAATTACTGTTATAGTTATGTATATTATAACTATAGAGACATGGTAGCCGTTTATCGGTCAAGATAGGTCAGGTAACAATCCGTAGGATAACAGATATCTTAGATTATTGAAACAAGGACCTATTGTAATATATTTGCTTCAATGTTTGCCATCATCTCAACTAGTGCTAACATTGTCATCGGAAAACCTCGTATTCAGGTAAAGTTGGACCAGGATCTTCTTCAATTGCGATTGCAAAAGCAACGTGTAGCAGTAATTGCAGCACATCGATCAAGCTATTGAATAAATGTAAATTTTCATTGTCCGACAAACTGCGATGTCGAGTTTGATAATGATCAGTGCTGTCGAACAATTATCTTCGAAGTCTGCAAAAGTAGAGCGGTACCGCTCTTTATCAAAACTTTTCGTCAAACACTAAATCGTGAACATGAATACTTGCCAGGCTTTAAATTGATCGCATAAAAAGTGTGAAGCGTATAGCTCTCAGACAAACAAAATTTTGTAGTGAAAGTCATAATATGGTATGAAAAGTCTACGAGAACAGCAACGAGCTACCACGATTGGCTGATTGAAAATGTGCAACTGCAGCTTCGCATAATGCTCTGCTGTAGAACAAACTAAAAGGCTAATTTTTAAGCTTCAGCTCCTTAAATGTGGTGATTCATACACGTTCCCTCTCTCCACAATCACCGTTTGCAATGTGTCATTGATTGTTTAAGCTTTCAGTTCATTATATGCTTCCTTCATCAACGCTTTGACTGTCCAGCCTACCCGTCAATGAAGTACTTACTACAACAGGATCTTTACGGCACAAAACAAGCAGCACGCCAAAGGAATAACAAGTTGAAAAGGGATCTTAAAAAAGATTCAAATGATTAGATGCAGACCCGCCTGCGAGTCAAGCCCTGATTATAGCATCGTCGCTAGTTATGTTAACGACCTCAATGCCTTTTCGTAAAGACGATAGTGCTCTGCACCGAGGTGGAGACACTAAGGGTCGAGAGAGTAAAGTGCGGCATGTTGTGCGCTTCGTATCACAGATGTTGTAACGGAGCTACACATACCCTTGTAGAAAAGGGTGGGTCACACAAGATGATTGATCCGTACAAAGGTGTGGATCGCACAAGATGGTGTGGCTACACCGTAACAAGAAGCTACTACTTGGCAGGACTGCCAGTGGTAATGCATATTAATTTGGTTTTACTGTATTACTATAATAATTGGGAGAACCTAAGGTTTTAGATATTGACGGCTATGCCGCAACTAAAACAATTAAATACAGTTTTAAATTTGAAGAGCGTCTTTACCTTGGTTAAGGTTGAAAGTACTCTTGGAGGTAGCAGATTACGATCCGCTACACTCGTAGTGGTTCTTGAAAAGAACGTGAGGCCGGTGACCTTAGCTCAGCTTCCTCTAAGCAAAGAGTTGCGGCAGCCCCGCTGCACTTGGACGCATTCGTAGTCAAGCTACGCCTGAGATGTTACGACCGATCCTCTGTGAGGATGGAGGAGTACTCCTATTCGCCCCAGGGCATGCTGGACGGGCTTAATAAGCTGATGTTCTTGCTGGGCCCTGAAGGCGTGAAACACCTTGTTGTGCAAGCGGCCCGAAGTGATATAGAGGCGTTGTTGAGCTATGAAAATGCTCTGCTAGAGTATTCACTGCAGAAGTTGTCAGCGTCGACTGCGTCCATGACGCCACCGTTGACGACAGATGATTCCTCCCGACCCAGGCCGCTCATGGTGATCGTTAAGACCTTCGAGAGTAAGGATGAAGAAAATATCCTACTCTAGGTGAGAGAGGCCGAGATGGCTATGGCATCCACCATGCTCCAAAACGAGCTATAGCGCGTAGCGCTAGTTATATTCTAGCTCGGGGGGCGAGCGCGAGAATGAGCACTAACGTGCGGTTCCTTGGTTAAGGCTGCGTTCTCCCTCTGAGAGGAGCTAAAGTGTCAGCTTTTGCGAGTGTTCATGCCGCCTAATCAGGCATGTCGCGTGCGATCACGTTTCCTTGCTGCCGGACAGGGCAAGAAGGAGTTGGTGGACTTTATCCAAGATTTGAGAGCTCGCATTGCCGGAATGGCAGCAGATCTTGTATCCGAGGATGTCACAGTGATAGTCTTTATAGAGGGCCTCCGCACTGGCGTGGCCAGAATGGAAGTCTTCTGTGTGCATCAGAAGTGATGATGTGGCATTGAATGCCGACTTTATCTTTGAGTCGGCACGACTTGGTTGGAATACACACCATCAGATCTCGTCGATCGGACCTGAGCCAATGGATCTCTGCTATGCTGAGAAAGAGGAGGGTGAGCTCTGAGCTGCCGGGCAGCGTTTAAACAGTGTTTTGTCTGTGGAGACACCCGTCACCTTCGGTCTGGTTATCCCCTACGCAAGGCGCGTAAAGATTCGTTAAATCGACGTTTCGCTTCTAACCAGTCTGATTTGTCGCGGGGAATTAGGCGTAGGGCACCCTTCTAGGGGAGAACTGAGTTCTGTTGCCGTTAAGAGATATAGGGAAGCAGGGTCCAGCCCGAAGAGCTACGTGCTCTTGAACACGGAGCGTGTGGGCCAGCCGGGCTTGCCGATCGTAAAAGCGACCGTGAAGAGCTTTGAGAAGCCATGGAAGATCCTTATCGATTCCGGGGCGTCGGGCAATTATGCTTGACGCTCTACGATCGAAGGAAGTCAACTGTAGGCTGAGGCCCTGGAAGCACGGTTGAGTGGCACCGCCACTGTTCGCTTAGCAACTGGAACTTGTGCCACTGTGCCACTGTGCCAGGGTCCCTGTGGACCTCGGTGACAATTTTCTTGACTTTGATAGCGTGGAGCGCTGCTTGGTCTTAGACTTGGATGCAGGGTGCGACCTTATCATTGGAATGGCATGATTGGAACACCATGATCCATGGATTGATTAGAGGTCGAAGACTTTGGACGCAACGCGCACGTCTCCTACTTGAGCTTTGGGGAGTCATGAACCCACCTCTACTAGAAAGCAGAAGAGCGATTGGCGCTGGCAATAGACCGGGGTGGTTAACAGGAGTCTCGAGCATGGTTAACAGGAGTCCCGAGCATGGCGCGCGTGCTAAACGTAAAGTATCACGTTACCCACTAAACACTGCTCAAGTTCTGAAAGCGGTTGTCGCATGCCAAGAGTGGCATGGTCGTACGAGTTCCGGTGAATCGAGGGCAAGGCTCCGGTGATGCGCGTAGAGTGACACGTAATCCATTATGAACTGCTCACATTTCGAAGCAGTTGCTGCATTCAAAAAGTGGCATGGTAGGACGAGGTCCGTGGCATCTTGGGCAAGGCCCTTCTGATGTGCGTGGAGTGGTTCGTTATCCACTGGACGAAGACTGCGGAAATAGCAGCTTTTTGTCGGATGCTGTTAGTGATATCAAGGCTCCGATAGAGCAGGATGTGGGGACGCTGGACGAGGCCGAGTGCGTATTCCCGCTGGTCTTGATGAGACGTAAAATCTCTGGAGAGAGGAAGACGGCGAAGCCGTATGATATCTGCAAGACGCAGGGTGTCGACCCTGACCCAGTATGTGTCAACGGTAGACAAATTGCACAGCTATATACTTTTGTCAACGGTATGACGGGAAAGGAAGACGGCGACGTCACCCTCGAGGCCATTCTCGCGGTGGATGCTTTTCTTGACATGGACGAGATGTCCTTCGAAGAGTTCGGCGTTGCCTTGAAGGAAAACAATTTTGCCAGTATGGCCATTATGAAACCGATCAAGGAGATTAACTCGTCGTCGCTTCTGGATGATGCTGATGCGAAGCGGGTCCTTAACGCATGAAGTGGATCGCCGATTCTGAGGGTCCGTACTATCTCTTGGTAAAGGATTTTCAAGACGTCGTCTCCAAAAACCCGCCTTCGGTCCTACCTCCGGACCGAGGCGTGTGTCATGAGGTTGACCTAGTTCCGTGAACTAAATACTGCAAAACACGCCAATGTCCCCTGCCCAAGGATCAGTGCAACGTTATTGAAGCTGTCTTCCGTGCAAAGTACGACGCAGGAATGTTGCGTGAGAGCAAGTCTCCCAATTTGAGACCCACATATTGTGCTCGTAAGCCGAACAGCAAGTGGTATATCGTTCACGCTTACAGTAAGGTCAACGCTGCTGTCTTTTTCAGCACAGCTGCCGATATCTAGGAAGGATGTTCGCCAGAACAATCCGGTTTGCTGTACAAATTACAGCGCACTCGACTTGGTCGATGGTAATTACCAATTGCTCATTAGAGCGAAATATATTCCGATGACAGCAGTGAGTACTTCGAGCGGGATACTCTAGGAGTGGCTGATGATGCCCTAGGGGCTGTCAAATGCACCAGCAACGTTTAATCGTCTTGTAACACGATTGTTCAGGCCCCACCGGGCGTATGCACAGACATACTTCGACGACATCTTCGTTTAAAGTCGAGCGGGGCATGAGAGGACAGATGTGGAAAACCACTTCGTCCATTGAGAGCGGTGCTCGGATGCATGCGCACGAAAAAGCGGTATGCTTATGCTGATAGGTGCATCTTCGGCGCGGACGAAGTTCCATTTTAGGGTGCTTTATTGAAATGCGTGGCCTTCGTGCGGATGCCGCTAAGGTCAAGATCATTATGGACTGGCTGGCTCCAAAAAACCAGAAGGCCTCGCGCAAGTGTTTTGGCCTCGCCAGCTACCTGCACAAGTATAACTCAAGTTATGCGGAAATGGCACGCCATTGCCTATCTTCTTAAGAAGGATACAGAATGGTGTTGGGACACCGATCATCAGGAGGCTTTTGACAGGGTCAAAAACAACCCCCTCATGCACCATAACTGACGTTGCCACACCTCGATCGTCCTTTGAGTGTCGTCTGAGACGCTTCGGACTTTCCACCGGCTGCGCACTACTAAAAGCAGACGCCGAGGGGCGAGACGGGTGATCGCGTTCAAATTCCGCCAGCTTAAGGCTGCCCACCCAGTCCACCGCCAGCGTAAGGCTTCCTACCCAGACCACGACAAGAAATTACTTGCGATGAAGTATACGCTTTTCAAGTTCAGGGTGCATCTGCTGGGCTCAAAGCCGTATGTGATCTACATAGATCATGCGTCATTACGCACTGCCACTCAGTCGCCTCATCTCTCGCTGAGAATGGTCAGGTGGATCTCATTCCTTGCAAAATATAACATCGGGGTGAAGTATAAGCCAGGAAAGCAGAATGCTTTGGCTGGTAGGTTGTCACGCGGACCGAATTATGAGCTTGCTCATGTCACGACGGAGACGTCGTCAGTGACGGATTAATCCGCCCCGCAAACGCGGGTGACAGTACGTGGGTAGTGCTGCTACAGGCTCTCGGGAGCAAAACGTTTGGAAGCTCGGACAAAAAATGTCGGCGCGTTTGCGCGCACGGGTACACCGATATTCGTTGAGTAACGGGTTGCTGTATTTAAGTATCAATTCAAGGGTTACGCCATGAATTGTGGTTTCTCACGATGCGGATTTAAAATATCGTACTCTCTATGAGAACCACGACACCCCACTAAGTGGTCATCTCGGTCGTGAGTAGACGTACAGCTCGGCGAGTTGTTATCTATTGGTAGCCTAAGCTTTTTAAGAAGACGAGCGCATATGTGCGCATGTCAGAGGGTGAAACCCTTTCCGAATGCGGCGGTGCCGCTGGCCAGTTTACCGATACCCTCCTGGCGCTGGCAGTCCATCAGTATGGACTTTGTATATGGTATTTCGAAGGACTCGGCGGGCAACACGGGTGTGGTGGTCATTAGTGGACCGTTTGAGCAAGATGGATCATCTTGCTGCAACGCCGGACACCATCGAGGGTGTGGGTACAGCGACGCTGTTTGTTGATCGTATCTTTCGACAATATGGACTCCCGAAGTCAATCGTCTCCGATAGAGGCCTTCGCTTCTTTTAGCCAACAGGGTGGGGGCGCATCCTTCTCAAAAGATTCCGCGTAAACGCACAGCCTCGCTTGACCACGACCTCAAAAGATCCGATAATCCGTGGACGGAGCTTTGTCGAAAAGACAACAGAGACTGCATGTGTAGGAAGGTTTTTATCATTTTATAAAACCAGGTCTCCGACCTCAATTTCTTCTAATTATTCCAATTGCATATTTTTCCTGCTTGTCTTGGCTATCAGCCATCGCATCGCGAACGTGTCGTAGGACACTCAGTCTGGTGGACAAGAAGTCATCGACTTCTTTACGGATGGTGAGGGGCTGACATCAGCTAGCCGTTCGGCTATCCCCCCACCAAGCCCTGAGCCATGGGATGGCGGCGTCAGGGGACGCGAGGGTGAATCAGCCCGTTCACGTAAAACGGCATGTAGCCGGTAGACGAATGCACTGCATTGTTCAGTGCAAACTCTACGAGTGGCAACATGGCGCTCCAGCGCCCGGCGTCTTAGCGCAGACGCTGCGAAGAACGTCTTCAATGACGCGAATCACACGCTCTGCGGATAATCCGCTGCTGACGTAGTCAACTTGGTGCCCAGCACCAGATAGGTGCGATCACCACAGAAATAGCCTGCACAGCGAGTACAGGATTGCCTCCTTCTTGAGATCGAAGTCGAGCGCGGTACCGATCCATTGGCATTTCTTGTGGTACCAAAAGGCAAGCTCGGAGAGCTTTCTGCTGATCAAGCTGAGCTTGTGTAGTGGCCAAAGGCCCGACTGCGTTACGCCTAACGATCAAGTGATCTCGTCGTTCGCTTCAGTAGCGGAATCCGCCGAGCGGAAGCTGTAATCCAGACGAGGGTCTTGTACCGAACGTAAATACGAGCGCATGAGAGCCGCTGCTCCTGTGCCTCGTCGAGGCGATAGGTAGCAATACCACTTCTCCCAGAAGTCGAGAGGTCGGAGAACGGACACGGTGTCCGCAAGGTTCGAGCGGGGCTCACGTCGCGCCATTGGCGCACTTCAATCTCCTCGTCTTCCCGTGCTAGGAAACGAGCATCTGACTCGTAGTCGACTTCCTCCAACTTCTTGATGACGCAATTCGTCATCCGGGGCGGGCGCGTTGTGTTGTGCTCGGTTGCCGAGGGTTTGGAAAGTGCTTCCCGTGAGGCCGCGGACGTACTGTCCGGAGATGCACTCTGTGCAGAAGAAGAGAAAGTGCTTTGCCCGCGGGCGCTCTCGGAACCAGCTATGCCGAGTGTTTTTTTGCGTGTCCTAGACACAGGCTTATTGAGCGGAAAATGGTTAAGGTTGTTCTTAAGAACGTAACGGTTTCTCAGGCACGCGAGCCTCATGTGAGGCGACTGTTAAATGTGAATTGTGGATATTCACAATTTTAATGGGGGAGAGTGTAACGGAATTACACTTACCCTTGTATAAAAAGGCAGGTCGCACAAGATGGTGTGACCATATATGGGTGTGAATAACACATGTTGGTGTAGTCGCACAGTGGCGTGGCTACATCGTAACAAGAAGCCACGACGCGGCAGGATTACCAGTAGTATTGCATATAAAATAGGTCGAACTATATTGGTTAGATAATACAATATTAAATGGAAAAACCTAAGGTTTTAGATACGGCCGGTTCTACTGCAAATAAAACAATTAAATACAGTTTTAATTTTAAGCGGAAGAGCGTATTTACCTTGGTTAAGGTGTTAAGTACTCTTAGAGGTAGCGGATTGAGATCCGCTGTACTGGTTCTTGTAAAGAACATAAGGTCGGTGACCTTAGCTTAGCTTCTTCTAAGCAAAGAGCTACGGCAGCCCCGCTGCTTAGGGCAACAGGTTTTATCGTTTGAAATATACCTATCTATACATGCAGTACCTGCAGTTTATAAACTAAGGTACAACAGTGCTACCCCGGTCCGTTCACGGTACTGGCCGAAAGGTAATTAAGTGTTACTATGCATATTACAACGATAATGTGGACACATCTTGTGTTGTACGTGGGCTTACTAAGGTCGTACCATGACCTCGCTATTTTGATCCGGTTGGGTCTGTAGCAGCTATCGTCTGCTCCAAAGCAGCGATACAGTTCTGCACCGCTGGGGGTGCTCTAAGCCAGGCAATGCAATTACGAAACTCACCGATGAGTTCAAGATCAACTTTATTTAACCCGTGAACAAACGTCGCGACTCTCAAAGAGAGTCGACGTGCCGCCAA